GGCTAACATTTTAGTGTACAAAAATCCGATATTACATTATATGTCTTAACATCGAATGACTTTTCGCTACAGCATGTTGCGACACGGAAGAGGGAGCTGTTCCCGATCCCCGAGAACCCACTACTCGCTAAGGAAAACTGAAGGCAATCTCCAGTTCCGGAAATTCCATTGAAATAACATTCAAGTTTTCAGTAAAATCAGTTTGGTAAAAAAAATTTGATGACAGTTTGCAAACCGGTTCTCATTGGCCAAAGGCATGCATAAATAAAGAGTACCGTTTTAAGAAGAAGACTTGAGCATAGTCTCCTCTTGATTAACCGACGAATACAAAGGGGATAGGTTCAGTTACATGGTTCAAAAGGAGCAGAGTGAGAAAGAGATTGTGCTTTGGTGACCTTTCCGTGTTGATCGATGATAGTCACTAAATTTGAGTAGCCATGATTCTCCTTGGCGGACGTTACACATCAGTTGACTGGGTATTATTAGACGGGCACTACACTTCCGTATTTGCTGTTATCTGCCTGTTTCCCAGTCTATTAGACTGCACTGTATCCTAGTTCCGTCATAAAACGTTTTTTCACGCAAACGACTTATCCTTACGGGTTCTGGATATTTGACGTGATAAGTAAACGACTTGACAGGGATTGGAGAACGATGACAAAACGTGACACGGTAACAGACCATCAGGGGATGACCCGCAATGGGTTGGATGTTTTGTTAGTCTAGGCACCGTATTACATGCATTACCGACAGCTGGAAATAATGATACTGCTTTTTGGAAAGGTTTATCGCCTTCAACTTTTTAAAATTTTGTCATATATATGCAATTATGCAATTTCCGGCGCTGAACAAACTGATTTCGGAGTCACTGTCACCTATTGAGAGAGACAGTTACCGTTTTTCTCATGATAAGCTTTCTTGCATCACCTCATCACAGCGATTGAGTGGTGCGATAAATTGGTTTATCTTTCTAACGATTTATTTATTTTGGCAAAAGAAAGTGAGCATGTGTTTTCTTGGCAAATTAATAATAACCGAATTTTCCTCATCCCCGACAGTTGATTGCACAGCTATCTAATAATCAAAGTGAGTAATTTATTATTATTATTATTATTATGATTATCAAATTAATAGAATTATCCTTATTCAACTCACACTGATCAGAAATACTTTATCACGCAGTTTCGTGTTACAAACTTTAGAAAAAGTGAACCGTATAGTCACTGGGGACCTATAGTTCGGTTGTGGGAAACAGGAAGTCAAGCCACGGAATAGCGAAACGCATTAAGCTCCAGGACAGTAGGATTTATACTGATTCAGTGGACCAGTCTAAAACTCAAATCGGTTGGTTGTAAAAGCGGTCGAACCTTTGACGTGAGATTAAGGGCATACTAGGGCATACTAGCAACTTGTACTACCTGACGGCCGACACTGTATCACTAATAGTTTACTCTGGTTAACCTTGGAGATCAAATCTGTGCTGGACGCGGCATAACTAATTAAAAAATTATTTGATTCTCCGAAAAGACGGATAAATTATCATCAAAGTATTTGTTACTACAGTCGTCAAGTAAAATGCCTATCGGAAGTGAACTTGTATCGTGAGCAGTTAAAAATATCCCACGTGATTATTGCAGGTAGATGTGGTTATGCAGTGACCTGGTTGCTATACAAACTTATGGATGTCGAATGGTGATGCAACACTCCGACATGAGGTCGGTTGGGGAGCTACTTGATAAAGTGTCACCAGGTCCAATAGAAACTCGGTAATTTAGAACAATCAAATTCGCCGCGGCCTATTCGGGAGTGCCATGGATAGGAGGACACTTCGGCTAATCAATGATCTTAGCTTGTACATACTTATCGATCCGTTTCAATTTTCCTAAAAAACGAACTGCTTACTCCGTGGTCCTCTCTTCTTTACTCTCTGTATCAGGAGATTTTGATGTGCCACTAGCGTCCTGTTAGTATCCGTTCAAACATTGAATACTGGTGATGGCCCGGTGGTAACATCACCAAGTTATCACCCTGGAGGGCGTGTGTTCAAATCTCACCACCAGAGCCTGACTTTTCTCATGATGTGTCTTACGGTAGACATTTGATTGGCCGTTTCCCACTTCCTGAAAAACGCATAGTTGTATTGAAAGGAAGTAAAAGTGGAAGAGAACTGAGCCATTAAATATAGTCAACTTGAGGTTGAGAAATGGGCAGCATTGCTCGAGTTTTGATGCAGTATCCGAAAAGGCGGCATGGTTTAACATTATTATTAACCAGCACTAGTTCCCACTGCTGATGACTGTAATTTGTTGCTTGTTGAACCTCTTGTTTCTTGAAACCCCTGCCAAGCTGTGCATGAGTCCCTGAAACAAGTCTTGCGGAATCGTGTGATATCGACTGATTTCCGGGTGTATTAGGTTGCTCAGAATTGGTATTTTTTGGTATTGATCTTTCATTTGAAGAGCTACCTTTCAGACCCAAATCGTGTTCACCGTTTGGTGGAGCTCAAGGAGCCGCAAGATCATAATCATCCAGTATTAGTCCCTCTCTATCCCGTTTTTCACCATCAGGGTTCAGTCCCTGTTCGCGATCTAGTAAACAGCAGAATAACCCGCGCTTATATATTCCATGAAGTATTGTTCACATGAGAGCATTATCCCTGGTGGTCATCCCACTACCAACGTCGAAACAGCAAACTTTGATAACAGAGGCCTCGTATATTACCTTTGGAGCGGCACTTCAACAGCAAGGATCTTTGATCTGATCTGATCTCTTTGAACGGTGCTCTACAATAGTCATTGGTCGCCGATTCGTTTAGTACCGTTTCAGTCCCAAGAAATCCGTCGCTAATCGAAATAGTGCCATGACCCATACATAAAATATTGTTTTACCTGCTTATTAGTATTATTATTACTATGTCGTGTACCGTCTGAGGTAAGAGGATTTGAATTGCTGAAGTTTGTCCTGATGGTTCAACATCTCGACGGCAAAGAAATAAGCCGGCTTTTCCGATTTCACCGGAGAAGTTGCGGAGATTCACCCAACTGCATTACACTAAGTTAAGAGCGTCATTATCGAATGGTTAGTCCCCGGAGTTAAAGGTGTTTCTTCCATTCTGCGGCCACCGGACAGAAATCGGTGTGCACCNCCCCAATGGCCAACGAATAATTCCGCCTCCGGTACGAAATGTGGTGCTAGAGACCTGCACAAGCACAAATCTGGGTGGAGAAGATGAGGTCGACAGACCGACAAAATTGTTGGTAATCCGGCCTGGTCAAGGAATTTGGTAGAGTAGCTATTAATTGTGCAGTGTGCATCCACAAAATAAATTCAAGCCCGAGGAATTGGACAGTATGGTCGGGGAGTTACGTTCTGTGGCACCATGTACATGCCGACTTCTGCAGAATGTTTCCTGGTCACTACCATGCAATGGTGCCTAGTTAGTTCCAATCAAATCGGCCGGAGGTCTTCCTGAAAGGTACGTCAACCACTGGTGCTACGACCCATACCAAAATGTTTCAGTTGAGGGAGGAATTCCGCACATATTTGTGTTAGATAATAGATCGCAATTTTGTGTAGCGAAGATGAATTCTTCGTTGGGCAATATTGGTCGTCTTCATTTGCAGCAGCTTCAAGTTTTCCCTGGTTCAACGGCGCGGCTAATATTTGATGAGACCGTTGAGAAACTTCATTACATTTGACAACCCTGATACACCGCTGGAGTTGGACATGCAGTTGCGGTAGAAAATTTTAGAGCACTCAAACCCCAGCTGTTCAACGCCCATCCCATTTTAAACCGGAAATCAAGAATTGCACATTCCTACTCTATGATCTACGAAGCTACATCGAAATAACCTTCATCACGGCCTTCTTTTGTCGCAGAATTTCTACTACCGAATATGCATGAAACCCAACAGGCCACCGTTCATGAAAAGCAAGTCTTCTGATGTGTGCATCTTTGTACTTTGGGAGCTGGGAGCACTGTTCCGCGGCGGTTAGATGGAGTTGCATGCCCGCGCGTGGGAGCTGTGCTAATGAAGCGGGCTTCTTATTGTTTGTTTCCAACAGTGTAGTAAGCTTTGAAATCAAGCTCATTGTCCTGCAGGTGAGTTAAATTCAGTTTATTCTTAAATATCGAAAGATGAATTCGTCTGTTAACTGGTATGATTGGCGTAATTGACGAATGACAAACCTCTAAATCTTTGATATTCTTAATCAAGAAATACAATGCACTATAGATATTAGATGATGAAGATCTCGTGCACATGAGGTAGAGCTGAAAAGCTAGGGAGCATTGGATAGCAGTTTCGACGTAGTGGGTTCTCATCAGCAGCAATTCGAATCCATCGGCCCAACTGGGGATCGAAACCGGGACCGTGCAAGCGGAATGCAAGTATGCTACTCACTCGGTCACCGGGCATCTGATCAAACCATTTCTTTTTTGGACATACGCTATATATACTCTCATGCAACAAGTAGTCAGCTTGTGAAAGTTTCCAGTCGAGTTATAAATGCGGAAGCTGGTGCTGAGATGAGCGGGGGGGGCAATATCTGCTACAAGATGGCAAAATTCGGTTGTGCTACGTCGTGTGTCACTGAAATGAACTAGGATAGATTATAAATCTCAATCGAAATTCATAGATCGATCGCTATTTAACCCTCGGGTGGTGTAGAAAAAGAGTACAGATTGGTTGAATTGCTTCTGTCCCGTGATCCACTGGAGTCAAGTGAAATTTGAATCAGTGAATGATCGATTTTGATCGGTGATTGCCAGGTTGGCACAATAATTGCAATATTGCTTAGTCAGTTTATTCTTTCCAGATCGATAATTCGGACAATTTTATGCGTTTTGCATCAAATGTCACATACGGAGATTAATAAAACCTTGTGATTATCCGTAGTTTTCGTTCATGTTGAGTGACATTAAATAATGCGTTGCTTTGTTATGGTACAGGTTTTACGTTGTATTAAGAGGAAAAAATCGTGAGGGTTAAAATTTAAATTCACATATCATAATTGGCATGGATAAACTCACTGCGTTTGCTCAAACTGAGCTCCATAGGGTTGTGACTCCGTGGCTCATTGGATGCGGGTCGACGTCGATGGGGATGGTGATGATGATGGTAGTGGTGGTGATGACTGGTACGATGTGGGCTCTGATCTTCCAGAGAAGATGGTAGTTTTCCGTCGGAACCAGTCGGAGCTGCACCAGTTCTTTTGGAAGAAAAGCTGTCAACAGATGAGATTGTCTGCCCAGAACCCCCGCCAACACTCCCACCTCTTCCAGGCCGTTTGGAATCTTCCGAATGTGGGGGAAGGCCATTGGATCCCAGACGCTCACGACTTCCATCTGCAGACAAGTGACGTAATCCGGTCACCGCGGCGGGTGTTTTGTTGCCTCGCGGACAAACTGCATTGCTTATCTGTGCGGTGCATCTCTGATTCGATTGTGAGCTACCATCAATGGACCAGTTGGACAAGGGACTGAGTGATTCGGCCAGGACACGTGATGAACTTGCAATTGATTCGCTGGCTGTTGGGAAAAAGTTCTGCATACTAGGTACAGTGGCGGCTAAGGAGAGCAGAGATCCACCGAGGTCAGAAAGGGAAGCGGTCACCGGTCCAGTCCACCCTGAAGAGGATTCTGCTGTTCCATCTGGGCGGGTCGGATCATCTCCTGTGCGAGGTGTCGTATTATGCTCAGAGGGTTGCCACAGGCGAATCCCGACACCTACGGTTTCAGGATGACTGCGAAGACTTTCACCAGTACAATAGGCACTGGTTTGACCACTGGGAGTATGTCTTCGTTCCTCCGGAACCTGATATGTTTCAGGTAACTTTTCGAAACAGCCCGATTGAGTGAGATCGTTCGAGAGCGAATTTTGTTTTCCGTCAAGCTCAAGATTGAAACTACCCTCGGCTACAGGAAGCAGAACAGAAATGGGTAGGAAGAAATGAATGTTTGTGCCAATACCACATTGCGTTTACTCGCAAAATTTTAGTTCTTAAAATAACTGATTTATGTGGGGTACCGATTCTGGGAAACAATTGATGTTTTCCCTGCATATTGCGAAATGAATCAGGCAGTTACACGTCCTTTATTCTTCAGAAGTTGAGTGCAACTAGTAATGGACTATCGCTAGATTACACTTGAATTTCTCACACCATACTCAACTCCAACAGATGCACAGTGTACTCACCAGACTCCAATTTTGCGGTCATCAGAACTCATAACATGAACTAGCCAATCCCAGGTTCGAAACCCCACACACCCCTCATGTGAAGGAAGTGTATTATCAGTTTGCCAGCCAGCTCATACTAGTATTGACTACAATTTTCAATTCCGATTTCTTCCGAATTCATTCTCAGTCACAGTTTCTTTGACCTGATAAAATCGCCAAAAATAAGTTCAGCCGTTCCTGTGTGTCGGTGCTTTGTTCAGCTGAGCTTGAAGCTGGTCAAGGTGCATTCTGCAGATAACAAATAGAACTCATCCTGGAATGGATGTTTACAGCATACGCTGTTCTATCGATTGTCATTTTTTTTTCAGTTTCTTTCCATAAAAGCCAAGGAGTAGACCATCTTAGAGGACCAATTGGGTTTAAATTTAACCTTAATTTCAGTGATAACAATGTGCCTTACGTCTTTTAACTTTCCTTCCTCAATCTCCTGACGGTTGACAACGAATGTTGTCGTTAAATAATTGAGTCATTCACATCATCCACTGCGTCAGACTGTACAGAACTCATTCTCAAGAAGACGGTGGTGCTATTACAAAAACGCCCGCCCACATTGAATCGTATCGGTATCGAGTTTGTGGTCCGTACAGATGTGCGTGTACCCTCGCATCGATGATATACCACCTATTCATGGTCTCTATATGTCATGGTTTCATATAGTAGCAGATCATTGGTGCAAAATCATTCACTATAAATATATCGTTGTCCATCGAATTTTTCGTTCATCCTACTCAGTGGTACATTTATTCGATACGAAGCAACCAAATCACCGAAGCTTTGTTTGATTGTATCTGTCCCAAGGGCTCGGGGACGGCGCAGACGTATACAACCCAAACAACACACACGAGTGAGATTTGAACTCAAAGGGTGACCCAATTCCACTCATTGATCCCTCCGTCTACCCACATGCGTTGGTACACAGCAGCACAGTGTTGCACAAATTAGTTGCGCAAACTCTTTGCTGTACCTCTTCCGATTTATTCTGCAGTCGGAAAAAATATTATGAAAACTAACAAGTAACAGTTACTGTGGACGGACTGTTGCTGTTATCTTTGATCATTTTTTCATCATGGCAAGACTAGAGTTGTAAATAACTATCTCTCTCTCTTAGTGCTTGCACAGTTCAGGTTTCCATTGTATTCTAAAAATCACCTGTGCAAACTGAAGCGACCGAGAGTTTCGCGAGAAGGAAACACTTTTGACTGCCATGGTCACGTTCAGTCGGTGTCCAGTCTCTCATATTTGACGAGCGATTCTGGATGCTGGCATGCAGCTTTTCGGTGGCCTTGAACTTGCTCATTTGGATTTAATTCGTTCACCAGTTTAATAGCCTGTACACCTTGGTCGTCGCGGAGATAAACTGCCATCCAGAGCAACTGTTTAGTATTTGTTGGACTCTGGTCACCATGTAAACGCACCCAAAGCATTTCGAGTAATTCCGAGACCTCGACATTCACGGATTTCCGCTTTTTAGAAAAGATAACTATTCATCTTTTTAAACTGTAATTATGTGTTCAAAAAAGACTCATGAGGCAGCTGGTGTTTCCGTGGCAGTGATTACGTCACGCGTGATACCATCCTCTCACAGTGTGTGACATGAACTTCCTCCCACTCCCTCCACCACGTTCACTATCTTATTGGAGTCAGTTCACTTTTCTTGTTGAAATTTTGAAAAGTTCAGTAACCTCGTTGGGACTCGAACCCACGAATGGACGCTGCCTACGCTGCTGTACAGCGCACGCCCTACCAGCTGATCTGCGAAGCAAACACTGATCTTTTCACATTAAAATCACCCATCCAACTAACGGAGCACATGCCATCCACTAGGTAGTATGTAAGCCCACTGCCACGACAGGTTTTCCCCAGAATTCACCAGAGTCCACTAAATGAACTACTAAGGTACGGTTAATTACTCAGTTCACTTTCATAACAGATTATCAAATTTTGTAATCTACTTTGACCTTACTCCAAACCCAAATCACGCAATTCACTTGTCTACCACCGTGTTGTTCAAATAACTCATTTTAACCCCTATATTTCTTGGTTTGACATGATCGATCAAAGCGTTCATAGCTGAATGCGGGCACGCGAAATTGATGGCTAATCTCAATTCTGCCTGTACACATGTCTTCTTGTGTTGATCAACTGGATACGGCGGGGGAGAGGGGTGTTTCATTTAGAGCAATGTTATTTGGTATATGTGAGGGACCGCACGCAATTGTAGATTTGTTTTGCCAACAACAAGGAAATCCACAATAGCAGTTGCAGGAACGGTGGCAAGAACTCCTCAGGGTTCAATCCACATATCAGTTTATGTGTGGCGTTGGATCAAGTGGTTGAATTCAGCAACTTATCGCCCATATGGTCATGTATTCGGATTCCGTTAGCACAGCTGAACTCTTTCCCTTTATCTTATATCACATAACTGCGCTCTCAGTCGAAGTTTCCTCATTCCTGAAAAGCTATTTGTAGCCCCAACGATTTATCGAAAAAAGTCGGTAACGAAAAAGTGAACAAAAACTATTGTAAGTATTCCGTCACAACTACATCAGTGCTTCGAAGTCCTGGAGCATAGATTTATTACGAGTAGCGTTTACACCCTGTCAATTGTAGTCAACCGGAAAGATTAATGTCGGCAAATTCCGATTAATCGCACAAACCATGTTTGACCGTATGTTCGGTGAATCGAATGGGAAGAAGACATTCATAGGGTACATTGGCAATAATCTGTTGCCTGTATGGGCAAAGTGACGCCACAAACTGTAAGCTTCCCTATTTTTCCACACAACAATCAATGTTACTCGCGATATCTGGAAAAATGTCGAACTGATTTCCACTCGTTCCAACTTTCATCTATCTCATCGGCTGAACCCCGTATTATATTAACCTCCAACCATGTCTGCTTCATGCAGACCGAAGATTGACTGTTCACCGGATGCAAACTTGTTTTGTGTTTATCAATTCACCTGCTCCTGTGGAGCAAGTTATGTGAGTCGAAAGGTGAGATATCTATCTGACTGTATCAAGGAGCATCACAGCAGCCGATTGAATCAGGGATTGACAAGGGATTGACTGTGTCGAATCACTCGGTGCCTCAGGCTTTCCGTCCTTTCCATACGGTCCAGGGTTGGTTATCCAAAGAGGTCAAGTTCAGAATTTTGTCAACAGCGGAGGCGAA